TTCTCTACAATGGCTCTTAACAAAAAAGAACGAATAAATATTCTAATGATAAAAGGGTACGGTGACATAAAAAGATCTTATTGTGAAGTAGCCAACTGGTTCAATGATACTTTCCACAACCGTTCTCCTATTTATAGGGCGACGACGGTACAAAGATCTATAAAGCGATTTGAGGAATCAGGAGAAGTAAAAGATAGAATACCGATCAGGTAGACCGAAAAGAGTTGAATGACAACAAAACTTTAGGTATAATGCAAAGTTTTGTTGAAGATTACCATACATCCTTTAAAAGCAACCGTTACACTGTGTGGTATAAATCGACACAATTTAAGGTACTAGAATGACGTAAATCCACACTGGATGTGTGAAAATCATACTCAAAGACCACAAAAATTAAATGTATGATCAGGTATAGTAGGTACTCAGTTAATTAAACCATTTTTTATTAAAGAAAATTTAACGTCAGATAGTTACGAAATGTTACTTCAAAACGAAATTCTACCTAGACTGAGAAACTTGTTTGTGGCCAATTTTAATCAGATATGGTTTCAGTAAGATGGAGCTCCAGCTCATTTTGGTTTAAATGTTCGGCGTTATTTAGATGCGATATTTTCCGGATGATGAATTGGTAAAAGAGGCAGAATTGAATGGCCTCTACATTCACCTGATTTCAATTCTAAAGATTATTTTTATTGGGGATACTAGAAAAATTCAGTTTACAAAACTAAACCAGCCAGTCTTGCGGAGCTAAGGCAACTAATTATCGATGAATCTCGAATAATTTTTGATAATCATGGAGAAATGTGGTAGACACATTCTACCATCGATTATGGTACTGTCAACTCATAAATGGAGCCCATTTGAAACACTTGATAAAGTAACCACTATGTTAAAAATCTTAATCTATCAATTGTTACTTTTTAATGTAGTTGGAAATAGTTAGTTTTAAAAAATTTATTGAGACAATTAGGCATTGCCAGACTTCTCTTTTATGTATTTAAGACCTTCCACACCATATAAAATCATAAGTGTTACATATGGTTGAACGCGTATTGAATAGGAGATTCCAATAATGACTGAATATAAAGGGTTATAAATTTAAAAAACCAAAGTTATACCTAATAATATAAGAGAAACGGCAAATCTGGCATCATTGCAAATATCAACTATGGAATCTCAGTATCCCAAAATAGGTCGACCTCAAATTTTATACTAGAAATTTACGATATAATTGGCCGTTTCCAGACTTTTAGGCCACTCTGTATATATATATATATATATATATATATATATATATATATATATATATATATATATATATATGTAAAGAATTAAATCTTTTAGCGAAAGCCGCTATCGCTTTATATATTAAATGGCCAACTATATGGCCTAGGAGACAAATTCGTTAAACTTCCCGTGCTCGAATTGGTATCACTAAAGTGTTATGATCATTTCGGCCTATCCCAGCCATCGTCAGACACTTGGGCTGATACAAATTCAAACTCGGAAAGTAAAACGAATGTCTCCCAAATCTTTACTACCGTGTAGTTAGCTTATAAAGGCGCCCCCTACTTTGAAGGCCGTGAACGAAACGATATGAATAATCGTTTTCTGTATCCTTTATGCTATGCGAAATGTGTAAAGAATTAAATCTTTTAGCGAAAGCCGCTATCGCTTTATATATTAAATGGCCAACTATATGGCCTAGGAGACAAATTCGTTAAACTTCCCGTGATCGAATTGCTATCACTAAAGTGTTATGATCATTTCGGCCTATCCCAGCCATCGTCAGACACTTGGGCTGATACAAATTCAAACTCGGAAAGTAAAACGAATGTCTCCCAAATCTTTACTACCGTGTAGTTAGCTTATAAAGGCGCCCCCTACTTTGAAGGCCGTGAACGAAACGATATGAATAATCGTTTTCTGTATCCTTTATGCTATGCGAAATGTGTAGCATAGCATAAAGGATACAGAAAACGATTATTCATATCGTTTCGTTCACGGCCTTCAAAGTAGGGGGCGCCTTTATAAGCTAACTACACGGTAGTAAAGATTTGGGAGACATTCGTTTTACTTTCCGAGTTTGAATTTGTATCAGCCCAAGTGTCTGACGATGGCTGGGATAGGCCGAAATGATCATAACACTTTAGTGATACCAATTCGAGCACGGGAAGTTTAACGAATTTGTCTCCTAGGCCATATAGTTGGCCATTTAATATATAAAGCGATAGCGGCTTTCGCTAAAAGATTTAATTCTTTACACATTTCGCATAGCATAAAGGATACAGAAAACGATTATTCATATCGTTTCGTTCACGGCCTTCAAAGTAGGGGGCGCCTTTATAAGCTTACTACACGGTAGTAAAGAGTTGGGAGACATTCGTTTTACTTTCCGAGTTTGAATTTGTATCAGCCCAAGTGTCTGACGATGGCTGGGATAGGCCGAAATGATCATAACACTTTAGTGATACCAATTCGAGCAAGGGGAGTTTAACGAATTTGTCTCCTAGGCCATATAGTTGGCCATTTAATATATAAAGCGATAGCGGCTTTCGCTAAAAGATTTAATTCTTTACACATTTCGCATAGCATAAAGGATACAGAAAACGATTATTCATATCGTTTGGTTCACGGCCTTCAAAGTAGGGGGCGCCTTTATAAGCTAACTACACGGTAGTAAAGATTTGGGAGACATTCGTTTTACTTTCCGAGTTTGAATTTGTATCAGCCCAAGTGTCTGACGATGGCTGGGATAGGCCGAAATGATCATAACACTTTAGTGATACCAATTCGAGCACGGGAAGTTTAACGAATTTGTCTCCTAGGCCATATAGTTGGCCATTTAATATATATATATATATATATATATATATATATATAAATATATATATATATATATATATATATATATATATATATATATATATATATATATACAGTTTGTTATTCTTCAATTTATCAATCAAAGATAGAATACAATTCTTATTTTGTTTTAGAACGCGAGCACATACATTTCCAACGCCCTGTGAATCGATTTGTAAATATTTATTATAAGTAGTTTTAAGCAGTGGGTTTATCCATAATGAGTTTTACCCTGAAGGACTGAAAAACATTAGTAAATACTTAAAAGTGAATAGACAATTGTTTCCCGGTATTTGTAGATATAATATTTTAAAAGCCTTTGTTACTGTTTCGCTGGAAAGGCCAAAAGCCGCCAGGTAGCTAGTTATTATATTTAGAAAGTAAGTTACAAAAAACCGTTATCATTTTCAAAGAAAGTTTTTTACAAGTAATGCTTGGGTTTTTCTGATATAAATTAAGAGGCGGGATATAGAAATTTTCTGATTGATTAGCGCGTTTGGAATGGAAAAAGAGAGTGAATGTTTTGAAAGTTTGGAGTAAAAAACATTATTATGTGATAGTCTACGGAGAGAAGCAGTTTAAGTTTTGTGTAGTCAGTTTAGAATCAAGTGCCAGTAGTTTAATAATTAGAACTGAGTGGCTGAAAGGTGGAACGAGAGAGAGATCAAAGCTGAGAAGTCGAATAACCTAATGGATTCTATAAAGTCCAAGTGAGAGATTGTTAGTATATGAAAGAGAGGAGAGAATTTTGGAGTTTTTTTGAACGAGTACTGGTAAAAGAGGCCTGCTCTTGTTTTTGGAGAAATAGTTGCTAGTATGCTGATAGGTTGACACCTAGAACGAAAAAGGCTTTGATTGGTAGCCTAACATAATCAACAAAGGGAAGCTGTTCTGGTCGAAAGAAGACATCGTAGTGTGAGTTAAAAGGTCAGTCAATAATTTTTATGACAGAATTTTTTTGTATGTTTCAAATAAAAGACGCTCTACTATCAGAAGAACAAAAATTATCGCTATTTTATAAAAGTTTGTTTTAACTTCAAAGGATAATTATAAATATTGCGTAATAAATTTAAAAGGTTTCTTTTTAAAATATTCACAATTTTTTGTACAAAAACATATGAACAAAATTGCAATATTTCAAAATTTTCATATTATTTCCTTTGATAATAAAAGATATTTGTATTTGTATATTTATGTTATTTCTATTTATTTTCTTTCCTTATTTTATCCCGAGAAGGAATAATTAAGAGATACTGGAAGCCACGAGAAAATATAAGTATAACCTAAGCTGATTTATTATTTTTATAAAATGGCACCCTGAGATTGTTTTTTTTTATATGATTTGCGACACAAGGATAATTAATTAAATGATTAATTAACGTAATTAAATAAATAAAAAGTTGAATAAAAAATAAGAAAAGGCAGATCATAATATATATATATATATATATATATATATATATATATATATATATATATATATATATATATATATATATATATATATATATATATATATATATATAGGCACATATGTTTGTAGACTTTTGAAGACCAAAAAAAATAAAAATTAACAAGACAGTGATAAATCTGTACTTTCAAATGATTAATGGAAAAAGTTTAAGAATGTACAAAGCTTTAGCTTTATCTCACTTCGTGTTTCTAATTTTAATGATCTGTATCAAAATGCCAAAGGTGAATCTATGTAATTATCAAAAATAACTTAGATTTTATTTATAAACAGTACATAATATTAGTATTTTCAGATTTATTGTTAATATTTTAACGTAATAATATTTAAATCTTATTTTCTCGAAGATTAAGATGTTATCTCAAAAGACATACTTGCCATGTGACGTCAGAGTCTCTTAATGTCTTGATTTCCAATATGCTTGAACCGTAGAACCCCGAAATTGGGAATTACATACGCTGGGCGACAAAAATAAACAAAAACAGATAATAATTATTTAATCCTATTGTTTTGATTCGTTTTCGCAAAAAGGTCAAAAGGTTGTCGTGAGACCGGGGTAGGTGTTAAATATAGAAACGGGCATCCAAGGTTACGGCTCACCTAACAGGTGTCAGCAAGTTAACAATCGCAATTTAGAAGCAAAAGAGCATTATAATCGACTTACCAGGTGTTTCAAAACCAGCCACTCACAACATATTTGTAAAAACTACACAAGTCACTGAGATTTCTGTAAAAAATACTATCCGGAATGTGTCTAATGAGACACAGCCCTCTGAGATTTAAAGAGTAATGTTTGGTCGACGCTCGTGTGGATTGGGGACGCCAAAATGAGTCGGCGTCAGGATGGAAGCGAAGGCGTACGGTGTAGGCAGGAAAAATCGATTTAACAAGGGACATTCAGGAATGTGTTCTTTCGTCTACTTGACGGCTCTACTTAAATCGCTGGTTTTTTTTTTCGTACATTCACATGGGATATTTTATGTGGATTCGTAACGAGACCACGTTAAAAACCACAATAGGATGTAAAAGGTACAGGAATTTTTACCGGAACCTGTCGTTTGATAAGCAGCAGGACCGGACTTAGAAGAAGTATCAAAACTTATACTTTTTTTTAAATGTGAGCAGGTGTGTCAGCTTTGACCAATATCAATGATATTTTATATTTATTTATACTTGAAAAATATTTTTCCACCAAAAATATTTTAAAAAGTTATTTAATAATGAGTGCCTATATGGTTTCATAGATCATCGCAATGAAATCAAACCGGCAAAAGTAAAAACAATCTATTTTTTGGGATATTGATGCCTAAAAACCATTTTTTTGTTGATTTTTATGTCAAATTAATATAAAATTTGATTAAAAATTGTTTTATTTTAAATTTATTATTTGAATATAAACTAATTTATGACGGGAGAGATTTATTTTCAATTCAGATCGTCTGCATATGTCGCTCTGAGGAGACCTAAGTAGGTCGAAATACGTATAAGCGGATGCCAGAGGCCCTGTATTGAAGTTAAATCTCAAACGCCTTTCTGCTTTGTTTATTTACTCATGTTCAAAGTATTAAAAACATGGTCGTATAAATAAAGAAGGACCGGGCTATTTACATCTGTACATGAAGCCATAAGATCGTCACAGTCATAGACACAATTGACGTTGTCATATTTTTTTTTCCAAGCTAATCTTCGAAATAATTTTCGATTTTTAGTATAATTTAATTTTAATTTATAGATAAAAATGTATTATTCAGTTAGTATAAACTATTTTTAGATATACTCATTTCGCAACCAAGGAATTAAAAGAAAAACATTAATTTTTTAATTTATTAAAAGAAAATATATTCTGATAATATTAACTTTATGTAAAACTTGGCATTATTAGTAATATTAACTAATCGTAGTTATTTGAGGAAAAGGAATATGCGTTGTACTGTTTACCTTTGAGTTGATAATTTCCTTTTTTGTGACATTTTAGTGAATTTGTTAATATTTTCATCCAGAACTGTCATTTCGTTCGTAAGTAAACATTGGAATTACGTCCATGAGCGTAGTACAGGGATGTGATATTACTTAATTCTTGACATGAATTGAAATTAAATTTTGTGAAATAAAGTAAATTTTGTCGTATTATAAATACATTTATTAATTTTTTCTAATCTACATTATAATTGCTATAAATATATTAATTTCAAAGAAATATCATATGCAGGTTCCCAGTAAAGAATCAACAGCTGCTAGATATGTGGTTGTCTATGTTCGGCTTAAATAAAGAACAAGTAACCAAAACTGCTATGGTCTGCTCAGAACACTTTAGAAAGCATGATCTAATTATACAACCAAGTGGACGGGTTAATATGAGGAAAGGAACTGTTCCAATAAATATTTATCATAAATCATCAGAACTAAGGTAACTATAACGAATTTCTATGTAATTTACTATACAGAGTATAATAAATATAATGCACACGCATAGCATATTAATTCAATGTTTCAGTTTTACAAACGATATGGAAAAAAAAAGAAACAACTTCCAGTAGTATTGATATGGATGATTTTTATGGACCGTCAAAAAGGTGAGTTTGGATTGAATTTGTTAATTAAATTTACAAATAAATCTGAATGTAGATTTTAATTACTTATTTCAGTTTAATATTAAAATTACTCACAGTATTTTAGGAGTTTCATTGATACTGAAAAATGTAATATGGAGACAGACTTGGGCCTTAATGTAAAATCTAATTCTCCTAAAAAGGAGGAGAGTTTTGGATAAATTTTGTATAAGATTATTTCAATCTTAAACCAATTTTAATATTTTTTCTTTAATGTACATAAATTGATTATTCTAGATCTTTAAATAACAATGAAGAAAACAAGGAAAGTATAGATATAGAAAATGCACCTTCGAGCACCATTACCGCATCAGAAACTGAAACTGTAGAGTTGTTACTTGGTGATAATACTTTTCATATGTTCCACGTAATATTTATAAAAAGTGAGTTCTTAGTTTAATTTATAAAAACAAGTATTATAACTATGAAAACCTAATTATATGTTTTAGAAATAAAACCATTGAAGACATGTCTAGCAGCGATTTTTCAACACCTGAAAGGACCAAAAAACATTTTAGAGTGTTAAAAAATACTGTTAAGAGTCAAAAAAGTAAAATAAAGTATATACAACAATATGTTAGAAGAATGAAAACAAAAATTACATCCTATCTAAAATGATTAAAGATTTATAAGAGCCCGACTTATGTCCTTTCTTGTTGAAATGAACATTTTATCACGAAGTCAGTTCAGCTTTTTATCTAATAAACGTACCAATGATGCTATGTTTTCTGTACTACATGAGGTCTATTAAGCACTAAACAATAATCTTTACGCTGCCACTGTTTTTTTGAGACTATGCCAAATCTTTTGATTGTGTAATTCACGAAATTTTGATAAAAAATCTAAATTTCTACGGAATTCGAGGTATTTCTTTGAATTGGTTCCAATCTTGCTTGAGAAATAAGAAACAAGCAGTCAGAGCAAATAATACTGACTCTAGACACAAAAGCATGTATGTAGAGTACCGCAATATTGAATACTGGGTCCTCTACTTTTTCTTATATTTAGCTTTTCATGCAATTAAAACTTCTGATCAACTTAAAATAAAAACCTGGTCCGACTATAATTTACTTTCTTTTAACATGAATAAGACAGTAGCATTATCCTATAAAGGAGCTCTTCAACCCTTGCTTCTTAATAACAGCCAGATCAGTATCGTTGTTTCTTTAAAATTTCATGGTATTTTTACAGACAGCAACCTTAAATGGTTCCTTTATATCAATTTGTTAAGTAAGAAACTAATCTCAGCCAGCTATGCAATACGATCTGTTTCGAAGCTGAATTTAGCATCTTCCAAAATAACATATTTTTCTGTAGAGTTGTTATCAACAGGTCCTCGTAGACACTTCGTCTCAGGACCATTTTACTCATGTAGAGTCATACGCCGCCATGTTACCTATCCAACGGTAACTTAACCATCACAAACTATAAAAACTAATAATGTAAAATAATGTTAAATTTATAACTTTTAAGGGGTTTTTACCCATATATTTTGGTGGCTACTAGCATGTACAACCGTTTGCACTGATGATGGATTGTTTAATCCGAAAACGTTTTGCAATGTGTTTGTGATAGCCCGTTTGAGGCAATTTTATATACCTTTTATAAAGGATTTTAACAAAATTTTTTTTTGTGATATATGGTATACAGCCAGCTACAGGAACTTAGTTTCCTCGTGGAATTTTATATTTTTCTTTGTTCGAGTCTCGTCTTCGATATGGCCTTCCTTTTTGCGGTTCTAGTACAGCTACCCAATATAATGTTATTTTTAAATTACAAAAAAGAGCAACACGGTATCTTTTTGGCCTCAGTAAAATAATACATTTTAGAAGCTACATAAAAAATCACGGGATTTTAACTTTTTCCTCTTTGTATATTCTAGAAACTGTTTTCTTAATTGGTAAACACCTACATGTTTTTTCAGCAAGACCCAGTCATGAATTGTCCACCAGAAATTCAACCTTTGATATGTATTTGTCGATTTCGTCCACTGAATTAGTAAATAAGTCTATATTATATTCGGCAAAAAAATTATACAATTAATTCCCTTTGCAACTTAAATCTACAACTTCTTTCCTTAAGTTCTGTAAATTAACAAAAGCCTATCTATCTGAAAGACCATATTATTCAATGGAAGAGTTTCTTAACGAGAAATTAAGAAATTACAGTACCTACGTTTAGGTACAAGAAACTAAAGTATTATATATTTGGGTATCAAATGCAGCAACTAAAACTTATTCGTAAACTACTTCCTAAGGTTTTATTATGCAATTTGCAATTTAGTTAGATTTTGCAATGAATTGTAAATTTTATTATCTTTTATTATGACATTGACCATTTTTGTAATTTTAGTAAATTTTAATTGTTCTTGTTATTTTTTTTACTTTTTTTAAGTTTTGTTCATAAAATTGTACAATTTTCAGTGACAATAAAGCATATTTCTATTTTAGAAACCTACCCCATCCATAAGGTTTAATGTGTTTATATATTGTTGTATATGTGGTTTGTTGTTCATGTTTTGTTAAACAATAGTTTATGTTTTCTTACGTTTATTAATATTTTCTTAAATACATATTCCTGAACTTTTATCTTTCTTCTGCCTACTGCTATGTCTAACATGACTTCTAATGTTGCCAAATAACAATTAATCTGGTGTTATAAACCATAATTCACTACATTTTTTCAACGTATCACTCACTGGATAAGAGAAGAACATACTCAATACCCTGAATAGGTTAATGTTTGGGGAAGAATTTTTTAAACTTTTTATTACTTGTGTATTATTTTAGTTTACATAAAATATTATATAAAGTACTTTGCGATTTTATTTACCCCATCTTTATTCTTTTGTGTAAATAAATTTTTACAAATATATTTATTTCTATACACTGAAAATTAAAATTATTCATCGTTCGTTGTTTCTCACTTATTCGAAATATTTTATATGTTTACGATACTAAAAATAAAAGCAATCAAACCAATAGTCATTATTTATTCAAATGAAAAAACTGTTTCAAATACCTTTCAATTATTGGAAGGTACGCCGATGACTTAAAAGATAATGTTACAGTCTATCACCTCACCTCTTTCGACGCGCCTATAAACTTTTCGACTTCAAATTTAGGCGAACAGAGTGCAGGGCATGCCTAGTCCATCTTTATTTATACGCCCATGATTAGAAACTACATAATTCTTCTTCTTCTTTTTATGTAGACATAACTCTCTGTTTTTTAATGTGCCTCCAGTTAATTGTCGTTCCATCTTTTCGTGATCTTCCTACTCATCGTCTTCCTATTGAAGAAGCGT